ATCAACTTTAACATTCATTCTTCCATTGTAGGTAATATCAAGTCTTTCCACCTTTGCCTGCAAAATTTTAAAGGCTTAGTGGATCTGAGTTCTCCACCTGCTTTTTTTTTTTTTTCTTTATACTTTTTCTTTTTTTATTTTTCTACAATGGCAACATGTAGAACCCGACTGGAGGTTAGAAAAGCCACTGCGAAGCAGCCATCAGAGAGGGAAGATAAAGAAGATAAGGCAATCTCTTCTAGTTTAATTAAATCAACATTTGATGAATTAGGATCTAAACTGGCTCAGTCATTGGATGCTAAATTGGATGCTAAATTTATGACTTTATAACTTTATGACCAAAAAAGATGGAAGAAAGATTGGATAAAATGGATATTTTTGTAAAACAAATGTCTGCAGATATGAAACAAATGTCTGGAGAAATTAAACTAACAAAAGAATGGAAACCTTAGAGAAAACATTAGGAATTAGAGATATAGAATTTGAAACAGGAATGGATAATTTGGCTCTGTTGGAATTTAGAGAGAAAGAATTTTGTTTGAGATTTAGAGCCATTCCAGAGGTTCCAGATGAAGATATTAGGAGAAAGGTGGTCTAGGCATTGTCAGATTTTTTAGACTGGGAAGGGGATGAGACCGGAGAGGAGATTGACAAAGTCTATTGGATTAATTCACATTTTGCCACAGTAAGACATGTGCCAAGAGATGTTTTAGTGCATTTTGTAAGGAGAAGGACAAGAGATCAAGTTCTGCAACAGCATTTTAATTCAAGATCAACATTTGATAATGCAGATATAATTATTTTAAAAGAAATTTCTAGTAGAATTTTACGTAGAAGAATATATGTACATCAATCACATAGTTCACATAGTGCCTAAGTTATATATATTACTGAGGTATTAAAGCAGAAGAAGGTCCCATTTCATTGGAAGAAGTTAGAGGGTATAATTTTTACTTTTCAACAGAGAAGATTTTGACTAAAAACAGGAAGTTCTAACCTCACTCGAGCAGAGCTAATACTGATCAGTCCTGATTTCAAGCACCAGGTTGCTCTGCCTGTGGCACATGCTTCCTTGTGTGACTGACTGCTACTCTGCCTTCTTCCTTTCTGACCTTTCATCCAGAGAAAGTGGTTGGTATCCCTGTGGGCTGGAGAGATGAACTCCAGTTCAGAATTTGAATCAGAAAAACCAGAAATAGTAAGTCCTGATAAAACTTGCCACTGTAGCTAGGACCAGGATTTTCTGTGTCTGTGTCTCTGTCTTGTCCTGGTCTTCCACTTTGTCTGAGGATGGTACTTCTGTCAGGGACATGACATAACTTTCTTCACCTTTTGCTCCCTCCTTTGCTGTGAGGGAACTGATTTAGTTGAACAATGTTGGAGGAATTAGAGATCTTTTCAGGATTACAGACGGCTTCTGCATACTCCCAGGACCAATCTGCTGGCCCTCAGCCTTTTCAAATCATAAATCCTGTAGCTGTCTGCAGTTAATATGGGAATCCATGATTTATAAGAATCCAATATTTGTGCTGCTTGTATTCTATTCTCTGCTAGTATGTGTACTAGCAGAGAGGATGAATGGGAAGGAGCTGTAAAATCAGGAGAATACATAGCAAAAGGGATTAATGGAAGGCTGAGTGGATCTGGAATGAGGAAGACAGTTGCAATTTATAGGTGATAGGATTTACTTGTATAACAATAGCAAGTCCACTGAATTGCAGACTTTGTTTTCATTCTAATCCCTTTATCAGCAATTCCTTGGTAACCAAATCTTGTTATACATCTGAACTGTTCTTGGCTTGCATGAATTGTTCCTTCATGCATGCTCTGAAGCTCCTGGAATATTCTATACAATGCTGGAAATGCAGAGGAGATGCCCCCCCCCCCCCAATGGATTGAATCTATGACTTGCAAAGGTAAGGTCCTGCTGGATTGAAGCATGCCAGGAATTGTTATATGAGAATTTTGCCAACGACAATAATTCAGCCAATTATTTTGTTGGTAGTTCACATAGTGCCTAAGATATTTTTCCAAAAAAACATTAGTAAGCTCTGTTGTCTATCACTTGGATGACAGGCAATGGAAATTTATAAACCATAAAATCATAAACTGGAAGGGACCACATAGGCTATTGAGTCCATTTCTCTCCTCAGTTCAGAAATCCAAATTAGAGCATCCCAGACAGACAGTCGCCTAGCCTCTGCATGAGCGCATCAAATGGAGTCTACCAGTTCTTTGAATAACTGACTCCATTATCTGATAGTCATCAACATGCATTATATATACATTTCCTGCAATCTTTCTTCAAGTCATTAATAAAATATGGAAGACTAGAGGAATCAGGACTGATTCTTGTACCACCCCACTTGATATCTTTCTCCAGTTTAAACAGGAACTACTGATGCATACCTTTTAAGTATGATTTTGAAGCAGTGATGTATTCATGTAATTCTCATGCCACCAGCCACCACTTAACTAGCTTGCTAATCAGTATGTCAAGGAGTATTGTACTTTGTTAATGCTTTGCTGAAGTAAAAAGATATCTAGAGCATTCCCACAACTTGTTAAGGAAGCTACCCAATTAAGAAACGAGATAAGGTTAGACCAACAAGGGTTGTTGCTATAATAACCTTCATTTAATAGTATTTTTTAAAATATCTGATATAACTACTGTTCAATATGGGTTGTCTTCCAAGATCATCTGGAAGCAGCACTTTGTGCAAAATGCAGTGGCCTGAGTGCTTATTGGTGCTTGTTAGTGAAGAACACCAGGACCGTATTCCAAGAGTATATAATCCCAACAGGATCACCCAAAGCATGAAGGTCATCCAGTTGCTGATGTTGCCATGCAGGAAAAGAATATCTGAAGCTGCAAAGACAGAATTATAGTGTAAACATGGAACATACCCAGTGCCTCTAACAATTCATATGTTTTTCCTCCCATGACTTTTATCATCTTGATTACTTTCCTATGGCTGCAGGTTGTCAACAGCCTTCCTAAAATGTGGTGCCCATAACTGAACAGAATATTCTTAGTGTAGTGCAAAATAGAGAGGAATGATCATGTCTCTTAATCTTGACACTAAAGTTCTGTTGATGCAGATTAGGGTTGCACTGCTTTTTATTCTATTTAACCTAATGGAATATATGAAATAAATTATGTAAAGGAGCTTTGTACTCTGTCATCTGTCTGCCTGCCTGCTAGTGAGCAAGATAACTTCCTGAAAACTGAATACAGTAGAATAAAACCAAATTTGATACGGTGGAAGAAGCCAGCAAAAGAAAGATCAAATTTGAATATAGGCTGGATCCAGTTGGTCTGCAGAGAAAAGCTTTTCAGAACTTTTTTCCCCAATTCTTCACATAGGAGAGGCACTTGGGAAATGTTGCTGACTGCTCCATCCTAAGCCCCCTCCCTCCTCCCTTCTAGCCACGTGATACAGAGTGGAGTATGTACAGCATACTGTGCTTCCTAGCACAGATACACTTGAAATGAGGGCAGAGCAGAAACACACACGCACACACACAATTACTTCTTTACACCGAAGAAAATACAGAGGTTTCCTCTATGGCCAGTGTTGGTAAAGTGAAGGAAAGGCCAGAAATCATGCTCTGAATGCTTTCCCTGCCTTGTTATTCTTCCCAGCTCAATGGAATGATCAAAAGAAATTTTGTAAAGGGGCTCAGGACTCTGTCTGTGTGTCAGTCAGCAGGTTTACTTTCTGAAAACTGAAGAGAATGGGACTAGATTTGATGTAATAGGAGAAACCAGCAAAATGAAGATCAGGTTTGAAAAAGGCTCAGAACTGAGTATCTTCTCCCTTCCCTTCCATACTCATCATTTTGGTTCTTCTGCCCAAATGGAGGATACAGTACTGCATTTGTTCCTGTTTAAATTCTTCTTGCTGGGTTTTGCTCATTTTTCTACATCAAGATTCTCCTGTTCTCTAAGAAGTTTGCTACACTCCTTATGTTTGTGTTGTCTGAAAAATTGATAATAGTAGTTTCTAGCTCCTAGTCCACGTTATTTGTCTTTTCCTTTTTATTTTATTAGAATTTTTAAATACAATAAAAGTATAAAAAATAAAGGAAAAATGAAAATAAAAAGCAAGAGATGGTAAAAAGAAAAGAAAAAAGTGAAAGAAAGAAAAAAAAAATGAGAAAGAAAGAAAATGTAGAATTATGACTTCTGCTGTTCTATTGAGTACCTGCCATCTTATTCTTTCCTCTCCCTATTTAATCCTTTTTAATCTCCAAATCCATAAACTATAAATTAAGTCTTTTCTTCTGTCAACAAAAAGTCCATATAAGATATCCAGTTTTTCAAAAAAACATTTTATTGTTTTTTCCCTGACCAAACTGGTCAGCCCTGCCGTTTCTGCAAACTCCGTCAATTTCATAATCCAATCTTTTTCTACTGCGGGTATTTCATAATCCTTCCATTTTTGTGCATACAATAATCTTGCTGCAGTTACCATATACAATATTAATTTCCCATATTTCTTTTCTAGTTCAGTGTCTATAAAACCCAATAGGAATAATTCTGGTTTCGTCGAAATGTTGATGTGCAATAACTTTTGCATCATGGTATGGATTTGCACCCAAAATTTCTTTGCTTTTTCACAAGTCCACAATGCATAGTAGAAAGTTCTCTCTTCCTTTTCATACTTCCAACACTGGTTTGATATCTCTTTGTTCATCCAAGTTTTTTATCAATATGCTGAAAAGCACAGGGCCTAGAATGGAGCATTGCACTATGCTATTTGACACTTACTTCAGCTATGGATACATAGTTGAATCCTTGACCAAATAGCTGAATCATTGACCTTAATCCTTGACCAGATAAACAATTTGATCATTGTGCTAACATTTGCTCCACTCCTGTTTAAGACAGACAGGGTCGCAGTGATGAATGCAGTGTCACAGCACCGCAGTACAAGTCCTGCCTCTTTTCTACATGTGTCATGACAACTCATACAAACCAAAAAGGATGGAGCTTGCAGTCTGTAGATTCCACTGATTACAGGAAAAAAAGCCTATTTCAAATGGGAGCTAACCAGTGGAAAGAGCAAGCTATGCTTTTGCCTGTTTGACTCAATTAATGCATATTCTGTTTGCATAGCTACTCATCTTGTTCATGTCTGCATGTGTTAAAAGCAGCAGTTTGTTTGGAATTGGTTTATATATTCTTAGTAAGGGGGAATGACAAATTATTATGTTTGAAAATGGCACATTTGTTGATCAGTGGCTTTTGGTATAGTTGTTTTTATATGCTGTTGGCTGAAGACACTTGATTTTCAGGGATTATGGATCCAGAATTGATTTCCTATGGACTTATTCTAGAATTATATTTGTTTCCATTACAGAAAAAACAGCTTATTCTATGTTCTTCAATGCTGGACATCCTAGTCTTACTGCTCTGATGGAATCAAGTGGTGGTAAAGTGATTGTATTTATGCTTCTGATGTACAATAACACAGGCATTCTGTTTCTGAATGATGGAATTTGATCAAAGAGATACCTTTCCATGTGTTATTTTTTTCTTCAGATACACTTGCAGAATGGAAGGATTCTAGAATTAAAAAACGTCAGCTTACTAGAGGTAAAGATCTTTTGAACATGACAAGTAATATTAAAAATAGCGGAAATGGCAGATTGTTGTTGAAATGAAGCATCCACTTAAAAATCCAGAATGAGGGAAAGAGCCATCCTTTCTCTGATACAATATTCCAGATGATACCTCTAACCCTAATCTCCCTCACCTAAACTATTTCTGTTTGGAAAAGAAGAATCCCTTTCGGAAAGAAAAAAGTGACTGTTTTTGTGTAACGTGTTAATAGAGACGATAGGAGATATTTTCACTGTTATAGACAAAGCTGAATTGATCATAGACCTAGGTTACTAACTTTGAGAGATGATGCAATTGGGCCTCAGTAGTCAGTCAGGGTTCCTGTCTTTTGCTTCCAGGTGGATATTTACAGGAAAGCTCATGATTTTGCCATTTCAGATCTCAAAAGGGCCTTTAGGGTAAGGGATACTGCACTTGTCATCCGCTTCCAGTTTAAAATTGGTGCTGTTCTACCAGTCCATTTGGGCTGCAAATTAATTTTTAGATATTTTAGAGAAAGAAGCAGTACTGTAGAAGAAGTCATGGGACTGATGAGAGCTTGCAATAAACATTTGCCTCCTAATAAAATTGAGGATAGGGGAACATATTTGTAGAACACCATCTACTATATCCCGCTTACTTTGGCTTAACATAGCCCAAAGAAGTGAAGAATGTTTTTTTTTACATCTATCATCTTATTTTGCCAGTTCTTGATAGCCCTCTTCACACACAGAGAACCATATTCTTATGTGATGATATCTGGCACAGGAGCATGTGAACAATGTATGTAGGGATTGTTGATGTGATTTTTTTTTTTTAATACAGGCTCATGTCAGCTCTATTCAGGTTATAGCATCATTACCAAGGATCACACAGCCATGTGGAGTTGCATGGGAAAGCAGCTCATAGTTAAACAAGACTATGCTAATAGGCAGTGCTGACTGCCGTACCAATTTGTACTAGGATAGTTAAGTATTTGAAAGTACGCTTTTGAGATATCTACCATATGTGGGAGTTTGTATGTGATAGATATGGAAGAGTTAAGTTCTGCATATGAAAAAGCCTACAAAACAGGTACAAAGATAACACCTAATTTATTATAGTTTCTGTCCAATAAACATTAATGCAATACAATCCCCATTCAAACATTCAACCCAATTCCCTAAGTCCTCCATTTGAATCTGTGAATTTCATTCACTTTCTTACTTCAGAAGAAACCACAGCATATATTACAATGTTCTAGGATGAGGCATTTACCTTTCTTCAACTTTGTTCTCATGTAGGAGACACTCTGCGGTCGACCTTCATCCTGCAAGACTCTTTTAGGTGTGAAGGGAGTAACCTTTATGTTTCTGATTGTCTGGCATTGTTAGGAGTGATGCTATGTGGCACTTTGTTAAGCCTCCAAGGAACTGTTTTATAAGGAATGGAAGTTACAGTTCTCTAGTATCAAAAACTCTCACTAGTTTCACACCCAATTATTTAAGGATAGTTTTCCAAGAAATTTAGTTTTACATTGTATTCATTATTCTTCCTCCAGAAAGCTAAGGGAGAATAGAGCAGAATTAGATATACCGAAAACATAGGTGTGTGCCCCAAAATGACAGTTTCATGTTGGTTTATCATTCCTTTCTTATGGAGTTTAATGAATCTCACCATGTGATGTCCCAGTAGAGTACTCTGTTTTTTCCTATCTATAATTATGATGAAGAAAATTTGATAAACTCATAGTTACTCTTCCCATAATATATTTCACCCACCCAGCCAGATCTTCTTGTTAGTAGACAGAATATAGGTCATTTCCCTACTAGTGACTTACAGAGTCTTCATAGCATTACCCAGCTATCACTGAAATGAAATAACTGAAATGACATAAAACTTTTCTGCATTACTGTTATTTTAGCATAACAATGGTTGGGTGACTCTAGAAGATACCATAAGTCACTAGTGGGGAATGACTGTAGTCAATTGAATCAAAACTCACTGTATTGATAATATAAATGCCTGTATACTTTCTCCAAGTTTCAGGAGATCATTAACCCCCTCCCCAAAAACCTGGCAGCACAGAGTATTTTTCCCAAGCACTGACTGCTTGCAGTGACCAAATCATGCCTACTGCTGTCTGCCTGGCCAATGGGAAATGGCTAGCGATGTCATGAATCCTTGCTAAGTACTCTTCTGGCATAAGGCTCATGGGATTCTATACACTTCTAGGAGAAAGTGGGTGGGGGCTCTGTTCCCAAAATGGTGATTTTTAACTCAGGCTACGCGGTGGTGCATTATCAGGAATACTGGTAAGAAAATCTGACAGGGTTAAGGATATTTTGAGTACCTGACCATAGATTATCCCTTTTTTAAAGGTAATCTTCTGGGGAAAACATAAAAAACAGGCAATACTTCATCGTAGTTTTAAGTAAAATAAGGATTAGGTCTAACAGCATCAGAGGTGATCTCATACCCATTGTAGTAGCAATGGAGGAGGAGAGAAACTAGTTATTTGTAAGATCTGGGACTTAAATGTTTTAGATAAATTGCTAGGGAATTAATATTTAGCAATTACTTCTACATGCATAAACAGCTTACATAAATTTTGTGCAAATATGTCCCCTCTTAACACAGAGTCAGCATAGTGTAAAAGTTAAGGTGGAAGACTAGAAGGGGAAACCCAGAGTTTAGTCCTCCATTAGGTATAGAAGCCAGCTGAGTGACCTTGGACCAGTCACTCCCTTATCCCATCTGATAAATAAAATCCTTTGTCACATCAATGCACTGATAGTTTCACTGTGTGAACTAGGTGAGTACAGTACAAAACAAGTGGACTCTGCAGCTAAGCAGGACAAATACTAAGAGCAACAACAGCATATGTCCTCTCACCCTTTTTTTTTTTTAATAAGGCTTATAGGCAACCTTTTCTCTATATACCTCTGTGAGACTTGTGGCACCCCATTTCTGTGACACCATTCTTTTCTTTGGACATATCCTGGGTGCAGGTAGAAGATGCCTTATTAACTGTTCTTTAACATGTCTTCGTGATACAGCCTTTTTCTCATCCCCAGCACATAGCTATTGCCATATAACTCTGGATTTCTCTGATCCAGCATGAATGTGGTGCCTTCCCATCTTCTTTGGACACAAGCCTTTCTTAAATGCATGATTTGTGGTGCTTTGCAGTGACAACAAGGCAGGGGCTAGGATCTGCCCCACTCCTCTTGGCTGCTTTTGACCCCTTCCCTTTTTGGACTGGCTTCTTCCCCCATGGGTTTGGGCCACAGGAATTATCATCTGCTCACATAATGTCTTACTGGTGCTTTGTAAAGCAGCCATTATGTGGGCACTTTAGTTACATGGGTCTAGTGGTCTCACAAGAAGCTGCTGTACACATGTAAAAAATGCCCTGCCCAACAGGCAGCTTGTGCAGCATAGTTGAAGACTCACCAGCATCTGTCAACAGCCCCCATCAGCTATTTTTAGATAGAGCAAGAGAAGATAGTGAGTGAGCAAGGGATTGAGACAATATGAGAGAGGGCTATAGGAAAAGTCATAGAGCAAGAGTGAGGGAAAGCAAGAGTAGGACAAGGGATCAAGAGAGGATGATGAGAGTGCAAGGGAGAAAGTAAGTGTAGCACAAGCAAGGGAGAAAGATGAGTGAGACAGAACAAGCGCACCAGATGAGTGTACACGAAAGGGAAAAACACGAGTAAAAACAGAAGACGAAGAGAGAGTAAGAAAAAGGAAACGACTGAGAGAGAGAATATCTATGGATCATCTGAGGGCTAGGGAGCTGCAGTTCCTGGTCTGCAGGGAGAATGGAAGCTTCCTGGTAAAGCAGAAGAGGTGGAAGACCACCCCCTATTCTGCAAGATCAGGGTCTGAAAGATGGCCAAACTCCTAGGTCTACTCATCTGTCAAACCTTGCCTCCTCCCTCAACCTCAGCTGATGTTAGATAGAGCGATTGGCGCTTGTAGGTAGGAGTGGGGACACATGGAAGGGAAGCCACAACCACCAATTGCTGCTGGCCCACATTCAGTTCTCAGGAAACCACTGATTTTCCTTGTTAATGAGGCAGAACTGAGGTTGGCTATGGAGACAGACCAAATTTATGCGGGCATACATTGTGCCATTTCATGAACTGATGCCCTTAAATCTTTTTCAGCTGTCCCCCCCCCTTTTTTTTTGGAGTGGGGAGGCATCCGGGAAACAAACTGTCTTTATGCATAAGTTCTGTTCTAAAAGAAAAAAAAACTTAACTATTTTCCTTTAATGGGGCAAATATGTGAATTAACTAACAAGGTTGCCTCCTCTCACATTAATTTAGCTTTCAAATTGTGTTTGGTTCCAGATGACCCACCAACCTTCATGGCTAAGTAGGGATTTCAACTTGGCTGTTACTGATCTGAGTCCATTATTTTTATTCTTACACCTGATTGGGTGTCATCTAGTAATCATAAAAACTCTAAAGATCATTAGGCTTAGGTATCTTTCTGTTTCTGTGGAGGTGAGAAGTGGTAAGAGATTAAGGTTGCTGTAAGGGTCTTTGGAAATTCCTTTCTCCTTCCCTTCTTGCTAGAGCTGAAGATACAGAACTGGAATTTCTAAAAAGAATGGATGAAATAATCTTGCTTACTGGGATGGGCAAGAAAAGGATCAAGACCCTGGGCTCCCAGGACTGTGAATGCAAAGAGATTGTGGAGTCTGTCACTGTGCCTTTATATCAGCACTGCTTGGCTCTGGGCGATCACGGTCCAGCTTTTTATTACCTGATGGAATCTGCATCTGCTTATGTAAACCTCTCCAACAACTACATGGTAAGTAGGATTCACCCATTCTTTTCCCTTCCAACCAGCCTCTTCATTACTCCTACAGCAAAGGACGTTCTAGATTCATGTAACTTAAAGGTGTCTGCATTTTTGTGAAGGCATTTCTAGATGCATTTACCCAGTAGAAGGCTAGAAGTCTCAAATTTCTTCTCCGTGTCTTCATACCCTGGTCCTCTGGTCCCAGCTTCTGCACTGGAGAAGTAGCTTGATAATACCTACTGTTACCACCTATCTTTCAGGTGACACTCCCCTGGGATCCACTCCCTAGCTCTGTGTGTTAGAGAGAGATATCTCTTACAACTTATGCTGTCCTTCCAGCAATAAAAAGGCCAAAGAGCAGAAAGTGAAACAATGTTGATAGTGATACCTCCTGGCCATTTTCTGTAACACTACTTCCTGACCATAGAGTACTGGGGCAAGTGGCTAGAGGATTCAGTCCTTGTCTTTTTGGCAGGAGACTAATTTCACAATGATAAGCAAAATCTCTTAATTAAAAAAAAAAAAAAAAGATAAATACCCTTTTTTGGGTCTGTGTGCCTTCGAGTCAGTGTTGAGCCCTGGCAACTCCCTGCAGTTTTCTTGGCAAGGTTTTGGAAATGGTTTGCCCTTGCCTGCTTTCTAGGGCTGAGAGAGAGTGACTGGCCCAGGGTCACACAGATGACTTCATGCCTAAGGCGGGACAAGAACTCACAGTCTCCCAGTTTCTAGCCTGATGCCTTAACCACTATACCAAACTGGCTCTTCATAAATATTGTCAGAACCCTAGCAATCAATTAACCAACCTGCTAAATTGCTTGCTTCGTTTCTGCCATTAGAATATAGAATATAGAATACTTTATTGGCCAAGTATGAGATGTACAAGGAATTTGACTTCGGTGCAAAAAACTCTCAGTGTGTTTGCATAGCATCAAGAAATAAGGAATAATAAAAAGTAATAACATTATATACTAAAACTATGCAGTCAGAAGAGGAGATCTGGAGGAAGAATAATACTACAGCTATTGACTAACATATACAGTGGTACCTTGGGTATCGAACGCTTCTGTTCATGAACAATTCGGTTCACAAACAGCACCGTTTGCAAAATTTTGCTTCTGTTCGCGAACTCCGCATCGGGTGACGAACAGGATCCGCGGCCATCTTCCCTGCTCTGACACGCGGTCGTGGCTTCCTGTAGGCGCGGAGGACTCTCCCTCCAAACACTAACCGCCTCCCCACCCGCCTTCCTGTCCTCCACGCCAGAAGTCGCCACAAGCAAGGTTAGCGTTCTCTCTCTTCATACTGTACTGTACTGTACTTGTTTCATATTTTTGTGATTTAAAAAAAATATACATATGGTTCAGAACGGATTAACCGTATTTACATTGAACCTTATGGGAAAATTTGATTCGGGTCGCGACCAATACTGGTTCGCGACTAAGCTCGAACGTCCCGCGAAGCAAAGATAACCGTATTTACATTGAACCTTATGGGAAAATTTGATTCGGGTCGCGACCAATACTGGTTCGCGACTAAGCTCGAACGTCCCGCGAAGCAAAGATAACCGTATTTACATTGAACCTTATGGGAAAATTTGATTCGGGTCGCGACCAATACAGGTCATGACCAGAGTCGTGGAACGAATTAAGTTCGTGACCCGAGGTACCACTGCATTCATTTTTAAAAGGAGAAGCTATTGTCTAGCATATATTCACATTTAACAGAGCATTATCAGTCACGTCGTAGCAGTCATATCTTATCATGCAATATCAATCAGTTTGTCATGCTGCATTAATTAGGTGTTCAGCAGAGCAATGGCACAAGGGAAAAAATATAAATATAAAATATTATATTATAAAATATAAAATATAAAATAT